CGTGGGCGACGCGCTGTCGCTGGCGTCGCACCGCCCGGAGGTAGTGGCGGCGTGGCTGTGGTGCGGTGTCGTGACGACGGCGGGGTGCCTGCCTCGCCACGGCGCCTGCCCACCTCCTCCCGCGCAGCCGCGCAGCAGCGAGAGTGTTGTGTAGGTGCGGCTTCGCCGAGGCGCAGGTTCTGTCCACTCTCTCCGCGAGCGACGCGATGGTCATTTTCTCGACGGAGCCGCTCTGGGCGGCCGCCTTCGCGTGGTTCGCGCTGCACGAGGAGATGAGCCCGCTGGGCTACCTCGGCGGAGGCGTCATTGTCGCCGCCTGCATTCTCTCCTCCGGAGCACTGGGCCCTTCGGACTCCGCCCGCGAGGGCGAGATTGCGATCTCCCCGTTGCCCGAGGGCGGGGCTGCGGGGATTGCGCACAGGGGGGCGCCGGAGGTGGCGCCGGATGACCGGTGGAGGAGCGAGCTCGATGACGGCGGCGCCAAGGCGCGGTGAGGCACAGTTAATACAGTACGACACTTAGGGTACCCCTAGGGTTCTGAGGGCCGGATTTTTTAAAGACCTTTTAAGAAATGAGGAGGTTTGGGGGCTCAGATTGTCATTTAAGAGATTGCAGGCACGGGGGGTCTCTCTTTTAAGACCGTTTAAGAAAATCGGCCTCACCGGCACGCGTCGCTGCGCGGAGGCTGCGTTCCGCGCCGTTTTCTCCAATACTGCCGTCATTAGGCACAAACCCGCCTCTGAAGACACATCTGTAAGTCTGGTGCACTGGCAGGAGCCATACTCGCATAGGGGACGCGTGCCAGCTGACTGTAGCCAGCTTCCCCCGGCCTCCGGCGTCTACTGGGGAGCCTCCCGGACCATCGACCTCGGGAGCTCTCCCGCAGCGTTTAAGCGTTTAAGACCGTTTAAGGAATTGGCGGCCCAGCAGCTCTTAAAACCGGCCTAGGCCGGTTTTAAGCCGTTTAAGCCGCAGGCGCCCCAGGGCCCACCCTTTTAAGCCTAGGGGTACCCTAAGGTACGACACTCGCAGGCGCTCCACCTAGAACGCCGAACTCCACCCACCACCCTCTCGTTTTGAGGGGGCATCTCCGATCTCGTCGTCGTTCACAAGCCGAAGCCCTCGTGTCTGCGTGTCCTTCCGGTCGCGTTATGAGAAGCAATTCTGAAAGAGCCGTAAAAATCTACTATGTACTTAACATTACGGCTCTCTCCATTGAACTCTATCATTGTCGATTTTGCTCATTTTGCTCTCACAGTCACAGCACACAGAGGTCAGGGAGAAGCAGCGAGAGCCGAGACATGCTGACGAGACCAGACACAAGGTGAAGGCTGAAGGCTGAAAGTGAAGCCCTCGTTCCTCGCCCGCTTCCGATCGCCTCTCACAACACAAAGTCCTTGCCCGCCTGGGGGTGCGCCCTCCCCCCGACGTGGGCCCGTAGGCCCTGGTAGGAGCCACGCTCCGCCGGGCCGCTGCACTCGCCGTTGCAAAAGGCGACGAGGCCGATGGCGTGAGTGTAGTGGGCATACAGCCCCGCAGTCACGGCGAAGACAAACGTGTACCTCATAAAGGTCGTCCAGCCGCTCGCAGGCGGCGCTACCGTCGAGCCGTCCTCGGTGCGCTCGTCATACCGATCTTCGTCGCCCGCCTGCTCGAGGGAGGCTGCGTCCGGGCTGACCGACGTGACCGTCTCGCTGCCGTCGTCGTCGTCGTAGTGCACCCTCCCCACGCCCGCGAGCGGGTCGAGGTTCATCCCCACCTCCGAGGTGCGCAACCTATTCGCACGCAAGACATCCTGAAGATGCGCTGTTCGTGCGAGGGGCGCGCCGTCCGGAGGGCGCGCAGCCTCGATGACGCGTCGCCCAGCTGAGCCTGGAGCGCCTACCTCGGCAGCACCGCCACCTCAGAGGCCTTGGCATCAGGTCAGGGCCAGAGCCAGAGCTAGCGTTCGGTTCGAGAAGCTAGGGCCGGATCGCGCGCCTCGACAACGTCGCCGGCGGACGCCTCGCCCTCGCCCTCCGCGGCGGCGACGTCGAGAGCCACCTGCAGCGATCCCTGCGTGCGCCTCGCCTCCACCACTGCCACTCGATCGGGTGGCAGCCCCAACGCATCCCGTACCTCGAGCTCGAACGCCGTAGCGATGCGGCCGCTCTGGGCCGCCACCGCCGGGTCCTCACGCGCGGAAAGGTGTCCTTTTTTTTTTAATTTGGAGGGGCAACGCAAGGGTACGGAGGGGCACCGCAAGTAGAACTCGGTTTCCTTTCTTCCTTTCCGTCAACCCCCCGCAAGGCGCAACACACACGCACGCACGCACGCACGCACGCCGGCACACACACACACACACACACACACACACACACACACACACACACACACACACACACACACACACACACAGAGAGAGAGAGAGAGAGAGAGAGAGAGAGAGAGAGAGAGAGAGAAGAGACCTGTTGGACCTTCTTTTGTACACATAGTTGGGCCTACCTAGTTACACACCGGTCAGATCCTCCGAGATTTTGCAGGAAGTGACCGGGAACGGTCTCATGGCCCGAGTTACTTTTCTAGTATTACTTCGGCGATCTAGCAACGATTGGTGTTGGAAGGGCCGGCCGGAAAGCGGGGAAAGCATGTTCGTCGGCTCGTCTCTCGATTCTCACCCGGTTTCTCATAAACGACCTCGACTTCCGCTGTCACAGCTGCGCGCTATTGGAACCGTGACAGCCCAGGAGACGCAGCACGACCGGCCCGTTCGCCGGCCCGTTCGGCCCCAAACATTTTACGATGCTGAGACAACGCAACCGACCTGCTGGGGTGCTCAAATCAGTGGCACAGAGTGTCCTGCCGGCAACTACCAACCTCTGTTGCAAAGTCCCTTCTTCGTTCACTTCTGCGCTCACTGCCAACACCACGGCATTCCTGTGCCCCTCTCGCGCATCCGCATGCTGCCCAGGCAGGCCGATATCGACAACAGGGCGTCAAACGGACCGTGGAGCACGGAGCCTAGCAGCGGTGGCCTCAGTCCACCCCCGTATCGCATCATCAACCAGACTGGTAGATGCACTGGAAAGAGGATGATTGTCTTTGCTGCGCCACTGGAGGAGTCCCACCTCTGGACTCAACAGACCAATGCGGTCGTGGAGCCTGGCCTCAGACTTCCCCCGTATCGCGTTGAGCCGCTGGAGCTGCTACCGGTGTCGCCAGAATTCATCCGGACCAGTGTTCATACTGGGATCGAATACGTCAACTTGTTCCTCTCGAAAGGGACACTATGCCCGGCCCGCGCCGCTAAAAAACTTTCGACGCTGCCGATTATTGGTGGCTCTGCTGACGCCGCAAATCCTAGCGGCGGCCCTGCGGCTGTGTCTTCGTCGGCGGTGGCGGTGGTGGCGGCGGCGGCGGCGGCGGCGGCGGTGGCGACGGCGACGGCGGAGCGTGCTGCTCCCTGCCCTTCTCGCCCCCCTCCCGATGCTACTGCTACTGCTGCTCCTCCCGCTGCCACCGCCTACCTGCACGGCGCAACTGGCCCGTCGGTTATTGGTGGCTCTGCTGACGCCGCAAATGCCACCGGCGGCCCTGCGGCTTCAGCATCGGCATCGTCGTCGTCGTCGGCGGCGGTGGCGGTGGCGACGACGGCGGCGGTGGCAGCGGCGGCGGTGGCGACGGCGACGGCGGAGCCTGCTGCTCCCTGCCCTTCTCGCCCCCCTCCCGATGCTACTGCTACTGCTGCTCCTCCCGCTGCCACCGCCTACCTGCACGGCGCAACTGGCCCGTCGGTTATTGGTGGCTCTGCTGACGCCGCAAATGCCACCGGCGGCCCTGCGGCTTCAGCGTCGGCATCGTCGTCGGCGGCGGCGGCGGTGGCGGTGGCGACGACGGCGGCGGTGGCAGCGGCGGCGGTGGCGACGGCGACGGCGGAGCCTGCTGCTCCCTGCCCTTCTCGCCCCCCTCCCGATGCTACTGCTACTGCTGCTCCTCCCGCTGCCACCGCCTACCTGCACGGCGCAACTGTGCTAAGCCGCCCTGCCTGGCCCTCATCGACTCGCTCGCTTATCGCACCGCCGGGACCGCCGAACGCAAACGCAAACGCCGACGATGTCTTTGCGGGCACCGTCCGACATCCGCCATCCTCACTGTTCCCATCAGCCGCGCACAAAGTGCTGAGACCAGTGGCTCGGCGCCCGCCCCCGATTCCGCCTACGGTTCTTGCGGAGCTCAGTTGCAGCGGCCTCCTCTTTCGAGCTCCGCGCCAGCCGCAGAAGATGGTGGGTAGGCAAGTGCTCGAGCCTCCGCCTGTCTCGGCCTCGCTAAGCCTGCCCATAGGGATAGGCTGGCCCATAGCGGCTTCCATAGGGGGTCAGCGTCATGGTCAGGGAAGCCGAGAACGGCGAGAAGAGTAAATGAATAAAAGAGAGCCGTATAGCTACGGAGGCTTTAGACACGGGGCATTTCGACTAATCACTAAAAAAGACGTGAAAAGTCTTCCGCCTTACGGTACGGGGTCCACGTCCAGAGGCGCAGAGGGACTTGGTGGGCCAGAGCCCAGAGCGCAGAGCCACAGAGGTAAATGCACGCGGGCAAGATCGAAGTTAAGGTTCACAGTAGAAAGGGATTTTTTCTTTACGAAAATCCAGTAATACGCGTGTGGGATGCTGCACGACGGATTTATATGCCCGCCACGGGCTCACAGCGCCCGCGCCTTGCGCAGCATCGGCACGAGCTCGCCGCTCGCCACCAGCCCGGCGAGGCCGCCCGCGGGCCCGCCGGTTGTGTAGCCGCCCACCCACTCGCCGCCGATGAAGACGTGCGGCAACGAACCCTGCCCATACAGCTTGCGCAGCTCGACCCGCGTGGCGGAGCCCTGGGCGGCAGTGGGGGCGCACACTGGTGGGGGGCGGCGGTGGGGGGCGTACATTGGTCTCGGGGCGATATCGGGTCATCTCCGGCAATCTAGCCTTGCCGCCGAGCGCGAACCACTCCGCTCCCAACTCGACGTTCTTGAACTGGCAGCCTAATCTCGGGCAATCTCGGGTGATATCGGGGAGCGTTTTCACGCTCGGTGTCCTTGAGCTGTCAGCCTGTCGACTCGAGGATGGCGACCACCTCGGACGAGAATGGGGAGAGGCCGTAGGTGTACACCACGACGGGCGCGGACGCAACGGTGGAGGCGATCTCTGCCCGCACCTCCTCCGGGTCGTAGCTGCCGAAGTTGGTCAGCGCGGCCTGCGGAGGTGGGAGGCGAGTATTGTGCGGGTGGGTGTGGTGAATCCGTGTGCACCACTGCCCGAGCGCCGGCGAAGTGGGAGTGTGAGCAGTGTGGCGTGGAGCCGCCTGCAAGTCCGCCTCCACAGAGAAGACGGGTCCGAGCAGCGGCATCGCCTTGCCGGCCGCAGAGATGGCGGCCGTCGGCTCGCGGACCTCGATCACAGGAGGCTCGGCGCCGGCCGGGACGATCTTGCCGACAAAGTCGCTCCACGCCTCTTGCACCGAGGCGATGGCATCGTCCGGCTTCTCGAGGTTCTACGGATGACGGCATGTGCAGGGAACAGGGTGACGGCACGCAGGCGGCACCCAGCAGCGGCAGCGGCTACACAGCACTGCTACTACTAGGTGCGTACCGGAAACGCATCCTTCAGCACTGCTACTACTAGGTGCGTACCGGAAACGCATCCTTCAGAAACTTGGGCATCATGACTGGCGGGCTGGCACGAGGGGCTTGCACGACGGCTGGCGGCGTGCCGCCGACGACGAGCGCAGAGGGCTGGAGCGCGAGGGCAAAAAGCATAGCGATTCGGAAAGTGCCTCGAACGGTAAGAAGAAAAATAGCAGAAGCTCGTTTATGCGGGAACGGGAGCGGTGGGATGGCCCGCCGCTGCACAACCCCCACGGGAGGTCGCGACAGATCATTTATGCAATAAAAAAACGCAAGACGCTCGTAACCGCGCTCGCCACCGCGCTCGCCGATACGTATACTCGTACATGTCATCTCTCGCTGCGCTGGCGCTCGCCGGCGCCGGCGCCTGCGCTCGCGCCGGCGGCGGCCGCGCCCTCGGGCCGAGGCTGCATGTGCCTCAGCCTCTCGCCGCCGGCTGCGGCGTCGGCCTACCCGAGGCGCAGCGGCACTACCTCTTCTCGGTGATGCGGCTGCGCGAGGGCGGCCGCGCGCGCCTCTTCAACGCGGACGACGGCGAGTTTGAGGCCGTCGTCGACGCCATCGGCAAGCGCGAGTGCCGCGTCTCGCTGCTGTCGCGGTTGCGGCCTCCTCCGGCGCCAGAGGAAGGCGGAGGGCCGACGCTGCTGTTCGGCGTGCTCAAGGGCGCCCGACTGCCCACGCTGGTCGAGAAGGCGACCGAGCTCGGCGCCGGAGCCCTCCAGCCGGTCCTGTGCGAGAGGTGCGCCGCCCTAGAGGGAGTACTGACGAGCGCTCGAGAGGACACGTACTCAGCTGCATCCGCTCAGCGGTATTCGCTTTGTTCGCTGTATTCGTCTCCCTTGCATGCGCGCGGTGCTCCGAGTAGCTGTGTATTCACATAGGTCCGCCGCCCTGTCTCTCCACCTCAGCTTTGAGCAGCGTCTCTTCACGCCTCCAGCTGTGAACTAGGTGCGCCGCCCGCTCTCTCAACCTCGACCGCCTCTCCGCCATCGCGACAGAGGCGCGGGCGCCGCAGCGGTGGAGCGAGCTGTGCCCCCTTCCCCTCACGCCGCCTGCGTCGAGTAGGCGGCCGAGCAGAGCGGCCGGCTGACTGTGCCGGTCCTCTCGCCGCCGCTGCGCCTCGAGGCGAGAGCATGAGAGAGAGAAAGAGAGGCAGAGAGGCAGAGGGAGAGAGGCAGAGGGAGAGGAGGCACAGAGAGAGGCAGAGAGAGAGGACTGGAGGGGGGCGTGGGTTGGCCCGAGGCTGGCCCGGTGATGCACAGGCGGCGCTCGCGGAGTGGGATGCGTCTCGACCGCTCTGGGCATGCGACGAGCGTGGCGGAGGGACGCCGCTTGCGAGGGCGGCGAGGGAGGCGGGGAGCGGCGCGCTGCGATCTGCCGGCTTGCTGGTCGGTCCGGAAGGCGCTCTCTCTCCGCTCTCGCTCTCGCTCTCGCTCTCGCTCTCGCTCTCGCTCTCGCTCTCGCTCTCGCTCTCTCGCTCTCTCGCTCTCCCTCTCCCTCTCCCTCTCCCTCTCCCTCTCCCTCTCGCTCTC